AAGGGCAAAGGCCATTTGGAAGGTCATAGAACCCCTTTGCAGGATTTTAATCAGGTGTCCACCTCAGGAGCCTCCATTCAGATGGAGACAGGAACAATGCTGAACCTCACCAGGTTCAATCTATGCTGGTACAAGGTACCCGGTGAGAGCCTGCGATCAGCACTGGGTCAGCCGGAGGCAGTGCTGGCATGGAAGTGGGCAGGTGAGGTGGCCAGTCAATTACAGGCCCGGGTGCTGGTGGCTGGGAGGCTCAGGATAGGTTCTCGGAAGTCACACCTTCTCTGCGAACTTCGATGTTCAGCTGCCAAGCTGGTGAAATGGCTCATGGATTTCTGTGGCTCCTCTGTCTCTCTGTCTCTCTCCCTGTTGATCCTTAAACTGTCTCCAAACCTGTATCACGCCCTGGGCTAGACCCTTAACCCATAACCCACCTGACTTCCTAGCACAGTCAGAGCAAGCCTGGGGATGTCCAGTTGGAAGCTGGCTCGTGGGTACCCAGGAACCAGGTGTGACCATCTAAATTTAAATTAATTGCAATTTAATGGAATTCAGATGTCCAGCCCTCCCACAACAAGTGCTAGCTGTGCATGGCTGCTGTGTTGGACTTGGGACAATGCAGACAGAATAATTCCCATCACTGCAGGATGTTCTATCGGTCCACACTAGACTGTCAGCCCCATCTTCCGGAGGTGAGGTTCAGGGAGAAGAGCCCTGACAGAGTGAAGGAGGGGACCAGGAGGGGTACAGGGAGGCTGACTATTGTTGTAAGTGCCCGATGGGGGAGGAGGGAGAGAGAGAGAGGTTGTGCGTGTCTGTGCATGGGGGTGTGTGTGTGCATGGGTGTGGGTGTGTGCGCATATGTGAGCCTGTGGCTTTGGGCTCTCTCTGGGCTTCTCTCTCCGGGCACCCCCAGGCTGGAGCTTTGCGCGTGCTAGTGTCTCCCTCTGGGCATCTGCTGTCTGCCTCTCTCCCCAGGTCTCCCCTTTACCTTCCTCCTGTGGGGCTCTCTCTGGCCCACCCCCTACCCCCCCCCCCCCCCCCCCCCCGTCTCTGGATTAGGGTCTCTCTTTTTCTGCATCTCTGACATTCTGTTTTATCTCAGGGTCTCTACAGAATCCACGTTTTTCTTTCTCTGTCCTGGCTGTTCCTTACATCTCTTGACTCTTGGGTCACAGCCCACCCCCTTCAGTTCCCATCTTGGGTTCTCTCACCGCTGCCACCTCTGTCCCCTACCTGTGTCCCAGGCCTGCCTCAGTCCCCGTCCCCTTCCCCCTTTCCAGGCCAAGGGCAGGGAATCTGGGCCAGACTAGCTCCCCCTCTCTCTCCAGCCCCCCTCCCCGCCCAGCCATAAAAATAGCAGGAGAAATTGGGACGGACGCTGAGGGGGTGAGGGCGGGGGCGCGGCCCGAGGAGGGAGAACCTGGCGTCCGGGCACTCACGTCCGTCTGGGGGCCTTTCCCGGCACCTGGACACTCGAAGGTCACAAATTCGTGGCATCGTCGATGAACCACAAAGCTGCAGACTGAAGGTGAGAATCACAGAGACACCTCTGAGGACAGAAAGAGCCGGACAGGGACCCCACACAGACTTCCACAGAGAGAAGCAAAGGCGGGGTCTCAGCACGCAGAGTGGGGCCAGGAGATGGAAAGGCAAGCGTGGACCCGAGGACAGAAAGAGACCCCAAGGGACACCCGCTACGCAGCCAGAGGGAGACAGAGAGACAGACAGGGAGAGAGAGAGCGAGAGAGAAGAGGGTCTCATTGACAAACAGCCCGCAGGGACGAGAAGAGAGAAGCAGCGGGAAGGAAGCCAGCGCCGAGAAACGGCCGCAGACAGAATGGAGGAAGCAGCAACTTGGGCAGAAGTGAGTCTGGGGGCCCCCGCTGCAGGCCCGCCCCCCTCCCTGACTCACTCTGTTCTCAGCAGTGGCAGCTGGTGCTTGAAGATTCGCCCCCCTCCTGCCCCTCATAACTGCCGGCCCCCTCCCGCCCATCAGTGACCCCACCCCGCCTGCCCCTGCCTAGGACGGTGGGTGTTGTCATGGTGACAGCAGCCTGGGGGGGGGCTCTGACTTTGCCTCTCCAGGCCCCCCCCCCCCGCCTTTCAGCTCCCCTTTTCCAAATCGCCCTGTTCCCATAGCAACCGATTCTCCAAATATCTGTCCCCACCTGGAGCCGGCCGAGGGAGGGGCCCCCAGCACCACCTCCGCGGTGGCCCCTCCGCAGAGCTCCCTCCCAGGCTCAGGCTGTGTCTCTGCCACACCCCCCGCCCAGGGCTCCCCCGCGCCTCTCTGGGGACCAGGGAACACGTGTGTCAAGCAGCCTCGGCGGCCCGGCCCCAGCCTCCACCCTCCTGAGGGTCCCGGGAGCCCAGGCCCCAGCTCTTACCTTGACACTGCAGGCCCTGTTTTCCAATCCCCCTGCCGAGAGCCAAGGGTCTGCGGTCAGCGCGGAGACGGGGACGGGCCCGCCTGCCAACCCGGGTCCTCCCTCCCCCTCGGACCCAGGAGTCTGCGCCCAGCCACCTCCTCTTTCTAGGAGCTGGGAAGTCTGGCCCCCAGCCCCGGCCCTCAGAGTCTAGGCCCCCAGCCCTCCTCCCTCGCCGCTGGGCCCAGGCCCCGGCTCCCTCCGACTCCAGGTCTGGGCGGAGCCCAAGGCGCGGGGCTGCGGACCCTCTCCTGGCTGTGGCGGGAGCCGCTCCCCAGCCCCTGCCCTCACCAGATGAAATCGGTGCAGTGGCTGCAGAAGGTTGGCTGTTTGAAGAAGCGAGCGGTGAACTTGTGGCTCTTGACTTCGTGGACCACCTTCTGCCTCAGAGCCCCCTTTCTGCAAAACAGGGGCCGGGGTCCCCCCTCGGAATCTCCTCCGCCGGGGCCCAGGCCCGCCATGGCCCTAGGACCCGCGCCCGGGCCGGGACCCGGCGTTGGGCAAACAGGTGGAGGGCGAGGCGCGGGGACTCCGGAGAGCGCAGGAGCCCGCGAGCTCCCGCGGCGCGAGGAGAGGGGCGAGGCCCGCGGGGTGCCGAGCGCGCGGGGCCAAGGGCCGCACCCCGGGGCGCGCCCGCTCCGCCAGGGGGAGCGGGCGAGCGGGGCGAAGAGCCCAGGCAGGGGCGCGGGGAGCCGGAGGCACGGGCGGCGGCGGCGGGAGCTCCAGCGCCCGCACCTGCTGAAATGTGGGAGCCCCGGGTGGGGGGAGGCGTTGCCAGGACGACCGAGGGGCGGGGTTTCGGCTTAAAGGAGCCCCCCCTCCCCGGGACGCGGGACAGCGCCCGCCCCCCGCACACGTGCGCACGCCCACTCCGGGGCTGGCTGGAGGGGGGCAGCCGAGCCGCGCCATTCCCCCGCCCCTCTGCACCCCAGCCCTGCCGGGGTGCCGGGGGGCCTGTCAGCCCCCGCCCCGCGGCCGCCGCCGCGTCTCCGGGTCCGGCTGGGTCGTTGATTCGCCCCGCAAACTTTGGGTCCAGCGCGGCGGGCCCGACCGCGCCGGCGGGGCTGCTGCCCCGCTCCCCCGGGCCCGGCGCGTCCTGCCCGCGGCTCCCGCGGGGCCCTGCGCGCGCGTCCCTGGGGAGTGGCGGGCTGGGGGCGCCCCCCGCGCCCCCTCCCGGGGCGGCCGGCTCTGCCGCCGTCGAGGCTGGGGAGGGGCCGCCCCGCTCCGCGCCGAGAACGCCGGCTCCTGCCCCTCCGCAGGGGGGCGCCGCGGGCGGTCGGCCGGGCCCCTCGGGTCTGCCTCCGGAGGCCCCCCGCCGCCTCGCTGCCCGCCGCCGCCCTGCCTCGCCCGCCCCCCGGGCCCGGCCTCGCGCGGCTCCGCGAAGGTGGGGCCGCCGCCCTCCCGCCCCGTCCCCCGAGCTGCGTCCGGGCCCGCCCCCCGCCAGCGGCGCCCCGCGCCCCGGCTCCGTCCGTCGGGGCCGCCGGGGGCGTCTCTCTGGACGTTGAAGCTGACCCGGCGCCCCACTCCGCTGCCCCCCGTCTGCCGTCGCCCGCGCCCGCCCGCCCGCCCGCCCGCGGCCAGTCTCCGGGGGTCTCCCTGTGCATCTGGGGGTCTCTGGGATTCAGTTGTGCCCCCCATTTGTCTCGAAGTTATGGCATCCTCTCCCCCCAGTGTCCGGGGAGGCAGGGTCTCCTGCGAGTCTCCCCTCCGCGGGGGCGACGTGCCCCCACCCCGGTGGCGCGCGGTCCCTCCCGCGGCTCCCGAGCGCCTCCCGGTCCCCGGCGGCTCCCGGAGCCCCGCCCGCTGGGAGCCGCGGCCCGCCCGGGCTGCGGGGGCAATGCATTCTGGGACTTGTAGTCTCGGCAAGCAGGACGGCCGCCCTCGGGTCGAGGGCGAGAACTTCCTCTCCCAGAATGCCCCGCGAAGCGAGGCGCCGCGCCGTGGCTGGGCCGCGCCCCTGAACGCTCGTCACACCTTCTCAGGGACGTTTTTGGGCTTGGGGGCGGCTTTCCGAGGCCGAGAGGGAGGTGAGAGAATCCGCGCCTTCCCCTGGTCTCCCAAACATGGGTCCACCCGCCTTCCAGCCACCTCCAGGCGTCCGCTGCCCCCCAGGGCCCAGCATAGGGGGTGCGGCCGGCCCCCCGCATTCCGTGCCAGCCCGCCCGAGATTGCTCGCCAGTCACCGGCACCCGGGGCCCTAAGCTGTTCTTTCTCTGGTGCCTTCCGGGGGGGCTCAAGCATGGGGTGCAGGTGCAGAAAACGGACTGCATGTGCCCCGCATTTACATATTTATGTAGTTGTGATTGTCGGGTTGGAGAAACGGGCAAGATGACCCTCAAGGCAGGAGCGATTCACTTAAGCTTTGTCAGGGTCTCCTGTTGGCTGAGTGTGTCGAGGAGGAAGTGGCGGTGGCAGCCGAGGGCAATATTGCTCAGGTGAAGCCAAATGAAACCCGAGCTGGGTCAGGAACCTGGAGAAGGGGACAGATAGCAAAGTCTTTTTTTTTTTTTTTTTGTGGGACCCTCGCCGGGCGGCCGTAAATTAAACCGGCGCTGCAGAGGCCGCGGGCAGCCTCGCAACCCAGCGCTCAACCGCTGCTGCCACCAGGGGAGGCCCAGATATCAAAGTCTTTAGGAGGGAGAATAGTCAAGTGTTTGTTGCGCCTTTGGTGAGTTCAAGTGTTTGAACTGACACAAAGACGTGTTCTCTGCCTGGAGAGGCTAATTATTGAGATGGGGAGCCCGGAAGAGTTGATTTTAGGGATGCTGGACTCCATTGGACACTGTTTATCTGAGGTGCTGAGTTGCTCATGGGACACGGTGGAGAGAGGTCTTCCTTTCTGTCCTAACCAGCTCTCCTGGCTTGAGAAGCAAACTTGAGAGATCCAGACTCAGCTCTATTTTCTGACGAGGCCAGAGTTATCTTGGCCTCCTTCAATCCCCTTCTCCAACCAGTCCCAGGAATCCAGGCCTTGTTTTCTATCCTGGAGACCTTCCCAGTAATAAAGCAAGCAGTTTTTCTTTTATCTTTATATTGAGGTAAAAAAAAAAACAACATTATGAATGTGGAAGTGGTCCCAAGGCTGTTTTCTCTGGTGCCTTCCAGAGGGGCTGCTTGGAACTAGAAGCTCCAGGGAATTAAAAAAAAATAAAATATATATTTATACATTTATATATATCACATTATGCGTGAGTCCCAGAGAAGCAAGCAGCAGCAGGAAGCAACTAGCACACAGAAACACCCCTGTATGTTCCATCCACTCACTCAAGCAGTGCAATTGTAACTACGGCAGCAACAGTTCCCCCCCACCCAACAACAAAAAATTTTTTTAAGAACTTTCCCCACAGTCATGTTTGCCTTTGAGTTCAGGACTAAGAAAAAAAAAAAAACATAACCCCTTGGCCAACGTTGCCTTTAAGGCCAGCAGTGGCCATTTTCTTTTCTCCCTACAGAGGAGGGACAAGCTACTTATAACACATAGGCTGGGGGACCATCCCACAGCCCCTCACAAATACTTCAGGCCATTGTCTTCAAGATCATGTGGTTCTTTGTCAGCTTTTTTGATGCATCCCCCTGCCCCTTCTGCTAAAATGGCTTCTATGCAGTGGGTTTTTGTAAGCCAGGCAAAACTTCCGGACATGGCCAGCCAGGAGGAGGCCTGGGGACCTAGGGTCTGTGCTTGAAGCCTCCCGCCCACTGGAAATGATGGTCCTCCAGAGAGTGTTTTATTTTAACTTAAAGGGAGGTGCACTGTGCACCCCCCTCCCCTGGGAGAAAGGGGGTCCAATCCATAGCTCCCTACCCCCACCCCCCAAAAAACACACATACACACTAACTAAGGCACAGCCGGGGCGGGCAGGCATGCTTTGGCAAGGAGGCCCCCTGGGAGGCCCAGGGCATGAACAGCTGAAAAGAGGGGTGTGTGGCGTGGAGCTCAGCACCTTTGGAGGTAGGGGGGTGGGAGGAGAGAAGAAAGTCGTCTCAGGGCTCCGGAGGAGGAAGTCAGAAATCAGAGTAGGAGGTGGTCAGCAAACTGGCAGAGGAGAAAACAGCTACGAAGATCCACCAGGAGACAAAAAGCAGAACCAGTGGAAGAGAAGTGGAGGGGAAATAGTAACAGGCCGGAGGCCAACCTGGATCTCAGGTCACCGGGCAAAACAGGGAGGCAAGGAGAGAACTCCAGAAAGGAGGGAAGCGAGCAGAGGCGTGGGAAAAGGAGAGAGAGAGGGAGACAGAAAGAGGACATCAAACTCAGGAAAGCCAACTCAGGAGAAGAATAAAGTTGGAGGGAGCCAGGATCCCAGGGCCTGGCCTCAGACCCTGACAAACACCAGGTGGGCCGAGTGCACCAGGTCAGCCACATAGGCCAGCAGGTTGATGGCGGTGAGGATGGCCACGGCTAGGCGGCGGTCCCAGTTGCACACGTAGTACGTGTGGCTTGTGCCACAGCTCCTGTCGTTGGACCGCCACGGCTGACCGCCGTACTTCTCATCAAATTGGTAGAGGGGCCAGAGGACCAGGGCGATGGCGTAGAAGAGGACGGAGAGCAGGGCCAGCCCGGACAAGAAGGTGGGGAAGGGGGTGGGCAGCATGTTGGTGCACTCCCCCAGGTTCAGCAGGATCGCCACGGCGGCCAGGATGAAGCAGATGGCGTAGATGGCCACACACCACTCCAGGGCTGGTTGGTGCTGGTACAGCCTGGAGCCGCTGATGAAGGCGAAGATGACGCAGGCCACGAAGGTCTCCAGCACCTTGAGCAGCCCTGGCACGGTGGCCATGTAGCCGGTGATCTCGCCGGGCCTCGCCCGGGTCCAGGCCACCTCAGTGGCATAAGCCATGCAGGCAATGCACGAGAAGACGGTGGCGGCGATGGCATGGTCCCGGGAGCGGCCATGTGACAGGAACTGGACGTAGGTGGTAGGGTAGATGATAGAAGACGAGAGGCAGAAGAGGGTGGCATAGCAGGCGTAGGTGATGGGGAAGTTGCGCCAGGACAGGGGGAAGCGGGCCTGGAGACCCCCTAGCTCCACCATGAGGATGACCAGGGTCACGGCAAAGCAGAAGCACCAGGTGAACATGGACCAGTTGCCCATGGGCCCTATCCAGGCACCCACGCTGGCCACCAGTGAGAAGGCCACACAGGTGGACAGCAACTGCAGCAGGCGGAGGAGACCCAGGGGCTGCGTCAGGGCCCGAGGGGACCCCACGATAGTCGGGCCTGAGGATGTCGTGGTGGTCGTGACGGTGCGGGTCACTGTCACCGGCATGGCTGGAGGGAGGGGAAGAACAGGTCCTAAGAAGATTCCCAGGGGAGAAGGCAGGCAACCCCCCCACCTCCCTTAGGGGAACAAAGTCACCCGGACTCTAGCTGGATTGAGGGGAGGAGGCCCCCAGTCTGCAAGCTTGAATAGCCGCAGGCCTCTGGGTAGTAGTCACCATTCCTCCCCACCCAAGTCAGCATTCAGTAGTCAGGCCCCTGTCTCGCCTTCCCAAACAATCCTTTCTCTCCCAGTAAACCCACCTGTCCTTCTGCCCACTCTGCACACTCAGCGTCTCAAGACTGCTCCAAAGCATCCCCTCCCTGGTATCCCATAAGCTCTTAAAAACCCCCTCCCTCTGGGTACCCACAGCTCTGCACCCCACACCCTGCACCCAACTTCCTTCTTTTACCGCAAGGGCCTAGACATTGCCAACCCCCACCCAAACATTCAAGTGTTCACCCTCCATGAGTGCACATTCTGGGGGCCACACATCTGTTCAGAACTTCCAAGTCCCCAGCTTGTCTCCTGTCAGCATCACATTGCTCCCAGCTTCTGGAAGCCTATGTGCTTCCCACTCCCCCTGCTGGGATGGGGTTAGCCCCCTCTCCTGTCAGCAGCCCCCTTCCTCTGCCCATTCCCCCGTCGAGGTGGAGAGTGGGCCTGCGCCCTCAAGTGCACCCACCATCTGGGATGTAGGCCTGGTGGCTCAACTTCCGCCTCCCTACAGCCCCTCCCCCCAGGAGCCAACCCCCTTCAGAACCCAACCAGCTAGTTCCCCAACTTCAGAGGATCTCAGCTGCCCTGATTCCTCACTGGCCTGTGCTCAGCTTGCCCCCACCCCCCAAGTCCCGAGCCTGGTAGGTTCTGTTACAGTTTCAGAGCCCAGGATCCTGGGGCCATCTCCTTGAACTTGCCCACAGCCCTGCTTTGGGCACCAGCTGCTGGTCCTAAAGGCCCTCAGGAATCCTGCGTCCAGTCTCCACACCTGACCAGGGGTCCTCCCTCGGGCCCCCAGACACCTAATCCCTTAATCACTACCCCTCATGAACTCAGAAGACCTTTCTTAGCCGTGGGGAGGAATACCTCCTTCCAGGGCGGGGCACACAAGAGGCAGCAGCTGGGCAGGCTGGAGCTTCTCCCTGCGGTCTGGTGGTCCAGCCAAGCGTCTTCCTCAGATACCCACCTCCCCGTGCTCTCCTCGGACCCAAGCGACCAGGTACTTCTGCCCCCCACCCCCAGCCAGGTACCCCCAGCCGCTCCTCTCTCACGCCCGGGAGGGCGTCCAGGCCCTCAGCACCCCCTCCCTCAGGTCCCGAGATCAGCCCAGCGCCTCGGATCTCCCCGGATCCGGGAGACCCAACCTGCTGCCACTCACCTGCGGCCTCGGCTGAGGGCCCCGGCGGGGAGGGGAGAGCGCGGGCTGGGGCGGCGGCGGATCACGGCGGGCACCGGGCCAACGGCGCTAGGGCACAGGGGGAGAGGACGTCAGCTCCGGCCCGGGCCGCGCTCCGCCCTCCGGCCCGCCGGGCGGCCGGACCGGTGTGGAGGCCCCGCCGGGGCTCCGCGCGCCCAGCCCGGGGTCCGGAGGGCCCCAGGGGCCGCCCCTCGCGGTCCGCACCCGCCGCGGGCAGGCGGCTGGGGGCGGCGCGGCCCGGGCCGGGCGGCTGGGGGCGGCGGCCGCGGGGCGGGAGGCGGCGGCCCCGGCCTTATAAGGCCCGAAGCCGGCGCCGCCGGGCGGAATGTGCGGAGCCCTGGAGGCGGCGCCGGACCCCGCTCGGGAAGGCCCGCCCCGCGCGGGGACTTCAGAATTGGGGGAGCCGTGGAGACCCGCGCCCCGGTCCTGGGGAAGCCCGCGTTTCTGGGGCCCTGGCACGCGTCTGGGGCGCCTCGGGAGGGTCTGGGCCGCCGGGCCCCGCCCCCCGGTCTCGGAGGAAGGGCGCGCAGGGAGCCACGAACCCGGGGTCACCGGCGGAGGCGCGCCCCTGGGCGCTGAAGCTGTGCCAGCCCGGGCTCCGGGCCAGCGGGAAGCGGCCACACCTCGCACCCCTCCCGGAGGCAGCGCTGGGCTCCCCGGCGCCGGGGGTGCCGCGCGGGAACCTGTCACCGGCCCCCGGGGGTCCGTTAGGAGGAAGCCGCGCGGAGGACGGGGCGGGGCCTCGCTCGGGGCTCGCGGAGGGCGGGCTCGCGGGGACCCCCGGCGAGAAGGGGTCTCCACCCCAGCCCCCCCACCCCACCCCCGCCGGCGCCTGAGGTCAGAGCTCAGGAATGCACGACCTGGGAGGGAGGGGGAGGGAGGGGGAGGGAGGGGGCCAGCGAGCGCCTCTTCCGCTCGGCCAGCTCGGCACCCCCTCCCCGGCCACACCCCAGTGCTCCCTCCTCCCGCTCACTTCCAACACACCCATCTCCCGCCGACTCCGAAGAGCTCCCCGGCCCTCCACGCCCGGGAGCGCTGCTGGGCCCCCCCCCCCCTTCCCAGCTCTGTCCTCACTTTGGGGGGACAGCTGCGGGGTCTCAGCCACGCACGGCCCAGGCGCGCACACGCGCCGCCTTTCCAGTCCGAAGTTCGACTTCGGTCCCCTAGAGGGGGAGGAGGCTGCCGGCAGCTCCCAGCCGCTCCCCGCCGGCGGCCTCCAGGCTCCCAGGCGTGCCCCCCAGACCCACATTCAGACTCCCGCCCCGGGCGGCCCCAGCTCCCGGCGTCCTGTCCCGCCCCGCACGGACGCGCGAGTCCAGGCCCCAGCCCCTGCTCCCCAGACTCGGGCGTCCCGGCCCCAGCCTGCTCCCTCGGGCCGGGCCAGACCCCAGCCTCCCCGTCCCCCGGGAGCCCAGGCGCAGCCCCGCCGCGTTCAGGGCGCCACCGGCGGGGCCCGCACCAGCCCCCGCTCCCGAGCCCGCTCCCGGCCCGGCCTTCCAGGGACGCAGACACGATTCCCACCCCACCCCCCGCGGCTTTCGGGAGCCCGGGCCGCCTTCCCCCGCGGGGTCCCCGCAGCCTCACCTACGCGGCCCGCGCAGCGGCAGGAGGGACGGCGGCAGCTGCGGACGGACGGCGGGGGCTGGGCCGGGTGGGGCGGGCGGCTCGGGGGGCGGGGGCGGGGCGGGGCCGAGTCCCGGCTGGCGCTTGGGGCGCGGGCCCGGCCGCCTCCCCCGGCGGGGGCTCCCCCAGCCCCGCCCCGGGTGGGGCCGAGACGAGGCCCCCCACCCCCCCCCCCCCCCACCCCGCGCGGGCGCAGCTCCCGGCGCCGGGTGGGCGCGGAGGGCTGAGGTCACCGTTGTCCTGGTGACAAAACAGGAAGACACAACAGCCGAAGGGGGGCCGGGGGCTGCCTCCCGCCCCGCCCCGGCAGCTCCGCGGGGCCCGGTGTTGCCATGCCAACCCGCCCGCGGGCGTGTGTTTAGGACCGCGGCGCCCCCAGCCCGGCCCACCCTAGACGCCCCCCGCTCTCTTCTCGCTCCTGCCCGCCGCCCTCCTCGTCTGCTCCCGCCCTGCTCTGGGGGGTCGCGTCTGGACGGCAGACTGTTGGGGGGTGCGGCCTCGGATTATGGGGGGACGGTGGACGAGGGTACCTGGGCCCTGCAAGAGGAAGGGTGTCCTGGGCTGCGGGCCCTGCCTCCGCCCCGGGAGGAGCGCGGAGGCTCCCTGCCCTGGAGGATCTGGGGGAGGGGCAAATGGGGCCCGCATCCTCCCTGAGCTGGGGTTCGGGCGCCCAGGAGTGGGGCGCGGGACTGCTGGGTCCCAGCTGTGCCCAGGCGGGGGGGGGGGGGGGGGGGTGTCAGCAAATGCCCCGGCGTCCAGGGCGGTGGGGGTCAGGGGCACCTCCGGGGTTCCACAGGATGCCGGGGGCGGGGTGGGGGCCGAGGCTTGGCTCAAGGCGCCCTCGTTGCTCAGCCTCAGGGTTTCCAGCGCAGATGTGGCCGCAAGCTCGTCTCCTGGGTCTGGCCGAGATATTTCTGGCCCGCATTCCTGGCTCCCAGATGAGGGAGGGGCTCCCTGAGCTTAATGAGGACGCGCCGGGGCCAGGAACTCCGGGTTCCGGGCTGCAGCCCGGGGCGTCGAGACGCCCGCCGGGCCCCCCAACAGCGGCGGTGGGGCGGAGGGACTGCGGGTCCCTGCGGGTGGGGCGGCCCCCGAAACCCTAGCGGGAGGCGACGCTGGGGGTGCCGGGCCCGGGAGGGCGGGGCGGGCGGCGGGACAGGGGTGCCTCCCGCCGGCCGAGCTCACTCACCCCTCTGCAGTCGTCCCCTGCGAGGCCTCACTCGCCGCGGCCGCCGGGCGGGGCCTGGCGCGGCTGCTCCGCGGCGCTGAGCTAACGGGTCCTGGGCGCCCTCCAGGCGACAACGGAGCAGGCTTGGAGGCCGAGTCCTGGGGTGTCAGCACGCGCGACGCGAGGCGGGGGTCCGCAGGGGTCCGCGAGCTCCTCCGCCCGGGCTACGTGCCCTACGGAGGTGGGAGGGGCGGGTGGACGCCGCGCTCTGCAGAAGTGGGGGTAGGGGTGGGGTGGCAGGGATGAGGAGCTCGAAGGCCCACATGTGTGTCCCTGCACAGGAGTAGCCACAGACCCTCTGTGCTTCTGTGACCTGCCAGGGGAGGGGGTCTCGACTCCTGAATGAGGGGCCACCCGAGGACGCAGAGTGTCGGGAGGGCCCTGAGGACGTTGCCAAGTTCTGTCCCCACATCTCCTGGGGCACTGTGTAGCCGCAGCCGCCTGGTCCCACAGCCCGCAACAGCCCCTCTCTGCCTGACCAGGAAGAGGCACACTTGAGATATCCCATCCTTCCCGGGAGCCCTACACACACACAGCTCACTAAGTTGTGGCCTCTGTGGCCAGTCTTTGTTCCTAGGCACCGCAACCCCAAAACCACGGAGTTCAGGGTTGGGGCAACAGAAGCAAACATTTACAGCCTGAGTCATCCGCCGGGTGTGACACCTTGGACTTTCCAGGTCTGTGTAATCTGACAGGCGTCTGTGCTGAGGCAGCCACTCTCCTACCTGGCTCTGTCGCCTCCACTCAAACAGGCCATGCCTCTGTTCCCTGAGGCTGGAGGCTTTGGGGACATGGATCCACAGGCCCTCCCATTGACTTCCTCATAAACCAACGGCCTTGATCAGAAGCGATACTGTGTGGGTAAACTTGCCGGTGAATAGGACCATTCAGCGTGCACACAGATGCAGCTCTTGGCAGACATGTGAAAGGCAGGGAAAGCAAATACCCCAGAGTTCAGTATTCCAGGGAGGAAAAAGTCACTGGCCAGTCCATGATGGAGAGGTCCTGTGTAATCCCCCGTGGCCCAGGTAAGCGGCTGATCTCCCACACCATGCACCGCTGGCTGCTGCCCGGAGGTGGACATTTGACAGGTCACAGCTGCTAAGCTTCTATCTGGCTCTGTTGAGCAAGCAATGTGAGGCCGGGGAGCTACTGAGGGGTCACTGACCCTTCCAGAATGACTTACTAGCATGGAAATTTGGGGGGAGAGGTCAATTACCATGCATCTTGTAAACTGTTTTTCACTCCCAACATGCCCAACACCAAATGTGTGTTTTGTTTTGTTTTTCACACTAAGAGTCAGTTCTCCAGCCCTTGGGGCTCCAACCGAGTGTCCATTCTGAATGTGGATGCACAACCACCAGCACATGCTCTCACACCCCATGGGGTAAGGGTCTCTTTCCACAGGACTGCCCCCTACTTCAGAGTCCAATCGCTAGTGCCAGGCCTCAGGGGCTTCTGCCACTCAGCTAGAAATCAGGGGTTCCTAGGAGCCGCTCCTCGGGTTCCTAATTTGCCGGAATGACTCACAGAACTCAGGAGAGCGCTGCACTGTGCATTACTGATTTATTACAAAGGATACACAGTCAAATAGGAGAGAAGCACTGGGCAAGGGCTGGGGGAAGGAGACAGAAGTTCCATGTCCTCCGGGCGCTTTAGCATGGAGCACCTTGATGCTTTCACCCACCTGCAAGTTCCCTGAGACTTGGTTAACGTTTTTTACTGAAGTTCCTTTATGTAGACACAGCGGATTGAATATTGGCCCTAGGTGACTAAGTTATTCATTCAGACTAAAAGTCCCAGCCCTCTAATCCTATGACTGATCCCTCTATTGAAATGGACACCACCTCCTTGGTCTATGACTACAACACTGTTTTGTTCTCTACCACCTCCTGGTCACTTACCCTCACTTTCCACATAGTTTCTGGAATTTTCTAAAGGGTTTTCCAGCCAACATGCTATGGACAGGTCATAGGTGGGCCATGAGGATCAATATACCCTCAGCAGGGTGCTCTGGATGCCACAGGCTTGCCCTTCAACCTTAGAGCGCTGCCAAAATACTGTTGTGTTGGGGCCTCCCCAGTGGCAAGGGGTTAAGCACCGCACTATGAATCAATTCGCAGCTACTTGATCCCCCAGCACCAGTTCGATCCCCCAGCATGAGTTCGA